AGAAGGTAGCTAAGGCTGTAGTGGCGTGGAATTTACTCATCACGTCAATCTCATTCATGCCGATCTTGTCTGAAATCGTGTCAGACGGAAGCCCGAGTGGAGGATGGAGGATTTTCCTCAAGTACTATGAGCCCCAAAAAAGCAGAAAAGAAGAGACTCTTGAAGGAATACCATAGCTTCGCGATGCATGCGGGTGAAAACCCACAGGAGTACTTCGGTAGGTTCTCTATTTTGCGGAGTAGGCTAGCGTCGCACGGGACAGTGTATCCCGACAACGAAGCAAACGACCACTTGGTGTCCGCCCTGTCATCCGACTACAAATTAGAGAAGAAACTCTTGGACCGCACCCCTGATTTGAATTTTGAGCAGATTGAGGATTCCGTGAAGGAGGCCCACACGGACCTGGTGCGCGCACGGGAGGAGGAACAAAAGAGTGGCGTGGGGCACGCCTTCGTCGCTTCCGGTGCGCCCCGGGGCGACGGACGTGTCCCAAATGGGTCGAGTGGGAACGGCGACGGACAGGACGGCAAAGGCGACGGTCGGAGCAGGAGCGACGAGACCAGAAGAGACAGGCGTTGCCACGTTCATCCGCGGTCAAACCACACCAACGCGGAGTGCTACCAACAGCAGCGGGATAAGGAGCGAAAGCAGCGGAACCAGCAGCGGCGGCAGCAATCATCGCAACAGCAACAGCCGCAGCAGCCTCAACAGCAGCATCCGCATCAGCCTCAGCAACAGCAGTACTACCATCCTCGTCCTCAACGGCAGCAGCAGCAGCAAGGCGGCCGCGGTGGGGGGGGCTGGGGTGGTGGACCCCAGCACGGACCTCATGGCGGACGCGGAGCGCAGCAAAGGTATGGAAACCCTCCCCCCCCTCACCCGCAGCAGCAGCAATGGCGACCCCCGCACGGGCATGCAAACGTGATGCACCACGAGTACGGTGCAACGCCCTACGGGGGGCCCGCAAACAGTAGCGAGTATGGGGGTTGGGAGCAGCCGCAGCCACAGTACCAGCAGCCCCCGCCTGACTACACCCAGCAGCAGCAGCCGTACTACCCGCCACCGACGCCTTACTACGAGCAACAGCAGCCGCCGCCACAGCCTCCGCCTCCGCCGACGTTCCAGCAGCAGCAGCCGCCGCAGCTGCAGCAGCACTCGACTCATGCCCCGCCCCACTCATCTCCTCCCGGAGCAGCAGCACCGGCCCCGGGCTCCCTTCGCGTCTTGATGGCACGTTTCGTGTCTGCAGGCGAGATCATTCCGAGTGCTGTTGTAGCGAGTACCGAGCGTGAGAGTGGTAATGGATTTGCTTTATCTGCGCAGAACCCGCTTTCCCGTTTTGGTAGAGAGAAGTTTTGGGCCGACAGCGGTGCGACGAACACTTTTGTGAGCAGTAGTCATCAAATGTTCGACTTGAGGCCAGTGCCGACAGGCAAAGAGTACATTCAGGTT